GTCCATTCGAGTAATTAAATCCTCGAATGCATTGAATATTTCAAGTGTTGTATTGGGTGGTTCATACCAACTATTAATTAAGAATGGTTTGGATTTTGGTTTTGAAATTTCAAGTGTAATTGTTTCGAGATTATCGTCAGTTAAATCGTCTCTTATTATGAAGTTTATTGAGGTTCTTATATATATTGCGACTCCACCACCATGCCTATTCCTGTCTTTTCTCACAATATCATAACCATTAATTTTGATCTCTTGATTTGAGACAGACAGGTCAAGCATGGTTTCGTTAATGCTAATTATTTCAAATTGTTGTTTATAAAGATACAGCCTTAGTTCATCGATATGCTTGATTAAGCTTCGTACATTTAAATCAGCGATCTTAAATCCCTTTAATCGATCAGTATGCTTATTACTATCAGTATTCTTGACCGCGGCTTCATTTCAATTTAAGGATTGATTTTTTAAAAACTACGTTTTATGTTTCTTGCCAGTGCAGTTGTTCCTCTTTGGTTTAAGTGCAAACCATAGCTATTTAAATGAGTCTTAGTGATACTTTTATGTGTAATAAATCCCCAATTGCGTTCAGTACATAGATTGTCTAATTTATTATTGTAAATATTTACCTTATTAGCAAGTTGCAAATCGTCGGTTCTTGTGATGACGTCCGACAGCGTAAGTTCAATACCACTTATTTCTTGCGTTATAGCCTCTCCAAGTTTTGTTACAGCTTTAATTAACGCATCTGGCGATTTCGTTTGCAGGTCATTGGTACCTATGTGCAGGATAATATGCTTTGGTTTCTTTTGGAGCGTCGGTTTAACATAGTGGGTCATTTCATCAACACCAGCTCCAGGAAAGGTTTTTATTGATATCTTTTGGTCAATTCCTTGCTGAATTCGTCGGGGATTTAAATGTTTTAACATTGAATCCCCTAAGATTACAATGTTAGGTTGGCTTTGTTTTGTCGCTTTGGGTTCCCTTTTATCTTTCTGTTCGTCCAAATTTGATTGACGTTCTTGTATGTTTCCTTTGGATTGCTGGCGTCTTTCGATCTTTCGACTATTTTGTCCGCTTCGGCGTTGGTTTGGTTTGTCTCCGCTTTGCCTTGGCTTATCTCCATGTTTGGCTGATATATCTGTGTTATGATGTCTAGCCTCTGATTGATCCAGATCTGATGCAGATTTGTTTACTTCTTCTTCGTGGTCACTAACGCTGAGAACTTCGAACTGGTTCTTTGACTCATATGATATAGTTGTATTTGGTGTTATGGATACATTTTCGCTACGTTTTTTAACTTTTGCAAATTCTCGCTTTTCTCTGTTGCTCTTATCAAGGTCTTCTTGTAGCGTTCTTGCGGCAGCTCTTAGATTCTTGTTCTCAGATTCCAGGTCTTCAATTTTCTTTTTTTTCTGCTAGTGATACTGATTCTCGCTGAATTAGCTTCAGGGCAGTTATGAGACTCGATTTTTTGTCCTGAAGTTCTATAACCTTAGCTCTTACTTCAGACAGAGATTGAAATAAGTTTTTGTTTTTCTCCTTTAAGTCCTCATTCTCTCTGTTAAGTTCATACCTTTCCTTCTTAAGGTCATTAACAGTTTCTTCATGTATCAGAATACCGTAAGCAGCATTTTCTTTATTCTCCTTTATCGTTGAAATTTCTTCCGCTAGAGCATCTAGCTTTCTAGTAGCATTTTGTGAATAATTTTCCATCTTAGAGTTTATTTCGTAAAATTCTGGGGATTTATTGTAGTTTGCGTCGTTTGTGTTGGTTGAGTAACTTTGACCAATTGTCCGAGTCATTTCATTGTTCACGCTACAGTTTCGTGACCTCAAATGCAAATTTCTATCTGTTGACTCCAAAATATTTGCAACCTTTGGACTCTCCGAATATACTTTGACTTCACCGCTCAATTTGCGGTCGAAATTTAATAGTTTTTCTTTTATTTCGTCGGCCTTTTCCCCCTTCACCGTCAAAGTTTTACTATTCGAATACCAACGTATCGAGACTTCCCCGCTTTCGAACAGTTTACAGTAACCTCCCAGGCTTGTCCACCCTTTACTAGATTGTAGTTGTAGTCGGTCAACAGCAAGACGAAGCTCTTCGAAATTCTTTTGCCATTTCAAATTGCCATTGGCTATCATTAAAATGCTACTCTCAATTAGTTCACTATCACTTGATGGCTTCGTGAGATTAACAAGCGAATTGTTCCGGTTGAATTCGGATTCAGTTAGGTTTAGATCTTCCTCTATGCTGTTTAATTCTTCTGTAGATCTGCTAATTTCGTCTCGTTTACCGTTCAATTCTGATTCGTTTCGATTCTGTGTTATTGCTTTAGACATTTTATTGCCGTAACAATACTTATTAACAAAAAATTTAAGAGTATACAGAGCACCAAATGTACGTATATTTTCAACGTACATTTTCGTATATTTTCTTTGCGAGATTGGTGTCATATCTTGTTTCTTCGATCAGATCTGGAAGGGCGCCTTGGAGGCAAATTCCCAATGCTCCATTCATGATACTTAGATTATCACCACATCTAGCTTCTTCTTGCTTTGGATGGAGACCGAAGTAATCACAGCCCAGCAGGACATCAACGTGTGTTGACTTTCGCTGGAGTGTTTTAGGATCATATTCTGGAAATAACTTTACCAGGACTTTAGGATCCAGTTTGCTTATTTGTCCGGTAATTCGCTCCATGCCAAAGGCCGTAATAGTGACTTTCTTTCCAGCACTTGTGTTGATTGGAAACTCGTATTGCCACGTGTTGTACATTTTCTCGACATTTCCCATAGTTGTCTTGTCAAGAGAGAGTTTTTTTTAACTTTCTTTGCTTTGATTCTTTCCGCAGCACGATGAGTGATATAACTTGCATTAGAGCCTCCATCACAGAAGACGGACACTTTTCTACCACTGTCGCTAATGGTCGTTTGGTGGATAGGGTATAATGCCATTCAATCACTTTCGACGGTATAGGATGCTAATTCCTTGTTCCCATCATCTCCAGTTTTCGATTTCTCCCCGGAATCTTTTGGGAGCTTTGGTGGGATGCACAGCATGGAATGATGTTGGTCACTGCCACATGAGGAACATGGGAGTTTCTTGGGGCAGTTAAGCTTCCTATGATTACCAATACATTTGAAACAAGCGTTTACCTGCTTCAACAACTCATATCTGCCATCTTTACCGCTGATGGACAACTTCTGGAATTCTTTGCACTGTTCGGTGGTGTGATTTATGGTGTCTTTTCTGTGGGTGGGGAAGGCACACTTGTAGTAGGTTCTTTGTCCGTGTTTTGCACCTCTTTCAATATGATAGGTTTTGCTGTACCCTCTTGCACTGTCATTTCCTCTTTTCTTGGAATGCCGATTCTCTGCTAAATGAGCCACAACTGAACGTTCTCTGTCTAGGAACTTCATTAGTGGAGTAAATGGTTGAAGTTTCTCCGCAGACGATAAATCACGATACTTTAAGACTTTAAGATGGGTAGGTAACAAATCAGTTAGGTTGTCTACATCTCGCATGGTTAAAGTGTTTAGCTGGCTGAGTTTTTCCAATTGACTGTAGGCAGATTCAACTTCATCCACTAATTCATCCAGAGCTATATAATCTTCTTCTTTTACAGGTTTTAGCCTTTGAAGATCTTCCAAAGCAGCTTGTACACTGGCAGTAGTATCTCCATAGTTACACTCTAGCTTTTCCCAAATGATGTCGTAAGCTTCGGGCTTGGTGACAAAAACAGATTTGATGCGTTGTTTGGCTTCTCCTTTAACTGAGTTCTTAAGTTCGTGTGCTAATGCAGTTTTATCATAACTTGCAGACTCAGCCATCGACTTCCAGACTGCCTTGAACTCTGGCCAGTCTTTCCTAAGTCTGGAGAATGTGGGTAGGGGCATCCTTTTTAGCCGAATGGTGGAATCTTGGTGGGAAAGTCTTGTATTAATCAACGGGACTGTGGGTTGATGTCCAGATGGGGACTGGTTGACAAATTGCTCCTGGTCTGATTGTGGTTGCTATAATAGCTGGATGCCACTCTTGGCAGATTTGATCCCATTGGCATTGCAAATGCAGGGAAACCTGTTGATAAATTTGTAGGATTCTGACATTGCTGAGACAAATGCGTTTGTCCCGATGTGAAAATGCTTTCAGAATGAAAGATGGTAGAGGGAATGAAGGTTTAAAGGACATCGGCAATGGATTTTTTTATTGCCTTGTTTTGTTCTCTATAATTGTCTTAGTCAAGATATGTATTTCATTTGCGATGAAAATATTTCATTTTGTAGTAAAGAGCGAATGAATTTGGTCTAATTATGCATATCGCCCCCCATTTTGAAAGCACATTTTGGAAAATTATCTTTCATGTCATTTGAGGCCTCTGACGTCATTGGCAGGGGAGAAGCAAAACAATACGCTGTCGCTACTATAGCTTTTGATCAGTTTTAACTTTTGTGAAGAATTTTCGCCGGTTCTAGGCTTTCTATGGACGAAATTCACGAGAATCAGTTAGGTGAAGTGTCTGTCACCTTATCAGTTTGAACCTGTTTTAAACAAAAATACTGGTAGCAGTGGGGCAGAAGCGATTCCGAGAGCGAGTCATCCTCAGAGGCTCTGACGACGACTTGAGACTTCGATGAAGCATTCGCGGCTGAGAATAGCTGGCGTCTTAAATCGCGCAGTTGGTGCAAGTGTGGCCACTGTACCCCGCAAGCAAAGACAATAGGAAGTTTTTGCTCGCACGAAAAGGCTTTAGAGTACGATGAGTACGACCCTTTAGTCACAAATGCTGAAGGAAGCGATCAATGTTGGTTTAGTAAGCTGTGGGTTAGTTATTGGTATTTATAGTTTTACTTCGTTTGGTCAAAATTTTCTAATGATGTCGTTTGTAGTGCAGAAGGCAGTTCTTCGATGATTAACGTAAGTTCGGCCTCTAAAGTTGTTAGAGTCCTATTCAGTTCTGGTTTGGTTAGGTCTGCCTGTTTGTTTTCATTCTGCTTCCGCTTCTACACTTAAGTTTGCAGTATCAAATAACTGTCTAAACCACGGTGATTCTGTTGTTATGAATGTCTGTGTTTTGAATGTGTGTGATTTACTTGTGTGTTTCAGCGAGGTCTGACTTCTGAGTGTATTTTGATCTTAATTGTGGAGCGTAAATGTCTTCGTTATTAGTAAAAGAGAGATCTAAACTGGCTATGATTTCTTCCTCGCAAACTGCGTCTGAGTCTATACGAAGGTCTGCTCCTTTTATATCGCTAAAATTAATACTCGCAAGTCGCAACCGACAAATTTTCAACCTCTGTTGATAAAAGTGACTTTAACCACTCTTCAAGATTCTAAATTGTGAAACAATGAAGAAAAATAAGGATATGGAAGAAGCAGAATTTATTAAAGCTATTGGTAAATGTATATTTCAAGTACTGGTACCTTTTGATGCTGTCTCTTCTCTATTGTGACGAATGAGATACGTTAGAAACGCTAGCGCTGGTCGTAGGCTTGTCAAGCGTTGGTAAACATTGGGCTTTACGCGCGAACTCGTTTTCTCTGTGTCATCCAGTGCTTTCGAGGAATTGAGGAGAATGCGAGGATTCATATGACTTCTCGGCAAAATGAAGCGAGCAAATTCTTGTACAAAGTGAGGGTTTGAATGCTTTTCGTTTGCAAAATTCTTCCAAGGCCGCTCTACGGCTCTTCTGCTCAGACGTTTTGCCGCAAGGAAAACGAAAGAAATTAACGTTTCTATTTGTCTTCAGTTGACTATCACTATTGCAGCCGTACACAGGGCAATATACATTGCTTAACTTTGACCTTCATGGTTTAATATATATTACATGAATGCAATAGTCTGTGGAAAAATATAGATTATAACATAATCCATTTTATGTTTTGCGTTTTATATGTTTTTTAGAAAACTAAAGCATCATTTCCCACCTACCCTCGCCCAGAAAATAATGGACCAAAAATGAATTGGTTTACAACGTGATTTTAAAAAATTAAACTTATGTCAACTGTATATTGCATTGACGCAAGATGTTCGGCGCGCCTACACTAAGACGTAAATACTCGTCGCATATATCTTCCGCAAGGCGAAACAACGCTTATTATGGAAATTTATAGAAATAAACAAGGTTGCTATGCAATTTTTATGCAATTTCCTCAAATAATATAGAAAAAAACAGCATGTAAACTATAGTTATTTACAAGGGCCGTATACGTTGTATAATCCGCTCCCCTGCCAATGACGTCAGTAAGGCATTTCAGCATAAATTAGCATATCGGGAATTTCTTCAAGATGGCGGACACTATGCATAATTAGACCAACTTCATTCGCTTTTTACTCCGAATCGAATAATTTTCATTCCAAATAAAATACATATCCTTATTAAGATGACCAACGTGAACAAAAATAGCCAATAAAAAAATCCGTTGCCGATGTCCTT